TCAAATGATTTCCACTTTACAACAAATAAAATACAAAAATATTGCACTTTTTCAATATTTAGACATAAAGATAACCTATAAATGCAGCATACACTTTACGCTCTTTCTCTCTCTCTTTCTTTCTCTCTCTCTTTCTTTCTCTCTCTCTTTCTATCTCTCTCTCTTTCTCTCTCTCTTTTTCTATCTCTCTCTCTCTCTCTCTTTCTATCTCTTTCTCTCTCTCACACACACACACAAAGACACACACACCATGAAATCCGAAGACAATCCTGTCATGTGTTTAAAGTATTCTTGACACACACTCACACAAGCGCGGGTGCGAACGCACGCACAAACACACCAACGCGCGAAAACACACACACACATAGGCAAACACATTCAAAAATACTTGCAAATTCAAATCCAGTACGTATAATTACACCAACCAGTAACTTCCAATACTACTAATTCGTCTGTTGCAAACTACATCATACTCATTCACACACCCACATTCACACGCACACACGCATACTTAGACATTTACATAGTCACACACACACACGCACACGCACATACTTAGACATTTACATAGTCACACACACGCACACACACATACTTAGACATTTACATAGTCACACACACACACAGGTACATACACACACACACCACACATACACACACATACACATACACAAGCACATACATTAAAGTACGATTGAGACCGATAAAAAAAGCATCCCATATTTGTTTTATGTTCTTTTTTTACTTTATTACAGGGTTCTTGCCATGAATTTCATTATATTGCCGCTATTACTACTGCAACCACCACACTTTTTATGCCTCGACTACTGCTGCTGCTACTACTACTACTATTACTACTACTATTTTTATTACTAACGCTACTACTACTACTACTACTACTACTACTACTACTACTATTACCACTGCAATAATTACTACCACTAATGCAGCCGTTGTTATTAATGATAAAAAGAAAGAATGAAATAGAAATAGAATATTGGCAGTAGTAACTGTAGTGAATGTGTTTTGTTGTTGTGGCCCAATTCGTTAAGACGTTTGATTTAAGCGTTTTGTCGTTGTCCAGAGCGCAAACAATCATTCAGTCTGTAAATAACACGCATTGCTGATTTATGTGTCTTCGTTCTGGTTTATCGGTTTGTCGATGGCGAGCGTTAATCATTGCTTTTGATGTATTTTTGGGAATGTCTTTCTAGAGTTTTAGTCGCTGTTGTGGTTATGGTAATTTTGAGAGTGTCGTTGTTATGGTCATTTTGAATGTGTTGTTGTTTTCTGAATTGTTGTTGTTGTTGGTGTTGTAAAATATCGTTGCAAGTTGTAATGCTATCGTTTTAGATGATGTTGTCATGTTGTTGGAATGGATATGGCTAAAACGTCGTCGTCGTCGTTGTTGTGATGTTGATGTTTTCAATGTAATGCAAGGTAATATAATATGAAGTGTTTTTTATGATGTTTTCAAAGTTTTAAGTTTGTTGAACATATAGTTGGAGTTTCATTAAAACGTTAATTTTTTCATAGCTATGGTGTGACTTAATGCGGCTGTCTTGTCCCTTTTATTTCATGTTATTTTGGTTTATCTAGTCACGTTGCTGTTCTTAATGTTATCGGATTAACATTATCTGAATTTTAAAATGATGATAACATGATGAAG